CTATTTTTGTAAGAATGAAATTTAAATTTATGTTTATATTTTTTTCCAAAAACCAGCGCTATCCTTTATAATCATAAGCTGGTGCAAAATAACCGTACACATTATAGTTACAAAAGTCATATTTACAAGTATATATATATATAATACATATAAATTTACATAAATGTTTGTTAAGACAAAATAGCATTGTTACATTAAGGAATTTTTTAATCGAATTATTTGCAAATGGTCAAAATGGCATACCTTAATTTAAGCATTAAATTTAATATCGTTTTAATGAAAATCGTTGTAATTGCTGTAAATTGTATCGGAATTTAAATAAATGATTCTGAATGATGAAACAGCTGATCTTAGTAAGAAAAAAAGCTACATAGATCATCTCACACTATCCTACTCTCACCATTCGCTCATATACCTAGGTTGTGTCCCCATCACAAATAATTGAAAATAGATATCTATTATTTAACACCCAAATCAAACAAATATAGCTTAAGAAAGTTCTTAGAACATATTTTCCACTCATAAAAGGGCGATTATCAGAATTTTCTTGAGATTTTCAAACTTCACCAAGCAAAGAAATCTGAAGACCATTACGTTGGCGTGGCCGTTTAATCCACATACAGCTATGTTTCTAGGGAGGTTTCTGGATATTGTCCAAACGACTTCTTGTCGAGACTCGATGGTATGTTGTCGCAATGTGTTGATATACAACTTACGCAACATTTTGAGACGAATAGCACCGTGTCGTTTACATTAGGAATAGACTTGAATAAAAATATCGTATAATATAACCCAAAACCTTTGTTGAAATCAAGCAGCAGACTAGAGAAGGTTTATAATTTAATTTAGTTTATTTTAAACAGGTTTACATGAACATGAGGTACTCTATATAATATTCGTTCAATGAATAATTATGTTTTTTTTTTGTCCTAGGACGCTAGGCACGACCTGGAAGTGTTTTACACATTACTTCAGACACATTACCCCCTAGGGAGAACAATCTACCCAAGACTCGCAACGCATGTATTAAATGGCTGTTTTGTTGCAGTAGGCCTATGACGAAACAGTTATTATTACTCAAACCAGCTTCAATATAAACAGATACTTTTGAAACTTTAATCGCCAAATACTGTGCGAAATATTATTTCCAGACATAAAAGTTCTTAGAACTAGTTAAACATATTTTAACAACCATAAAAATGTATTGAGCTTTGACTTTTTAAAATAATAGTTTCATTAAGATAAGTATTATAACTAACATAACAGTTTATTACGGAAATGAGAGTATAGATTTTTAGACTATCCTATTTCCCTACATCTGTGTTTTTAATTTGATTTAATTTCATTTTGCACGTTTAAAATTTGACAGAAGTTATAAAAGTACTATTTCATACACTAGCTATGTCGACGAGGCCTTTGTAGAAGATAACACCATCAATCAATACCTCATGATAGCATAGTTTTGTAATACGTACTAACTACTATAATTACTGCAATATAAATCAAGACAGCGTCAGTTGGAAATCACTACTCACAATATTTCAAATAACTAGTAATATAAAAAAATCACCCCCACTAAAAGTTATCAACAATACTGTATATCTTCCTTCCGTTGTTTTTAAAGGTCAGACGCCATTAAACATGCTTATTTAACCTAAGCAATTTAGACGAAGACAACCGACAATATCAAACTTCACAAAATACATTTTCTAGTGCAGTTGCAATGGAGTTGGTTCTAACTTGTATAAGCACTGCAGTGATCTCGGCAAGGCGCCAGTCATACCCTGCACTAGACGCCTTCCTTGCACCATGTGATATTTCTTATTTTATTAAACGCGAATACAATACAAATGTTGCTATCACATTATTATAGGTTTTATAAAAAAAGGTAATATTTAGTTCGTATGGTACAAAATGATATCTTCTTCACATGACTACACAGGTTGAAATAGGTACAACTTTTTATTATTTTCTCTTAATGTTAATTTGTCAAATATAAGTTAACATAAAAAATGGGATACAAGTCTTTTAGCCAGAAAATCTAGCCTAGTAATTGAGAACTCCCTTAGTCTTCAGAATTGCTACGACGGGGACATTATAATATCAATGGTTTTGATAAAACAGTAGAACGAGGAGACCGAGGCTTGCTCGGTTATGGTTAATTAGGTTTAATAGTTAAACAATATCGAAAAACATAAATTTTTGTAATATACAAAAAACATTTTTATTACAAACCATATACATTATATCGCTGAAATAAATAATAACAAAAAATTAATGTTAAAGTATGGAATCGAACAAAAATAATGTCAAGTAATCTTCAGTGTAATCTTTGCTTAATAGTTACAACTAATGTTTTTCCTATTGTACTGTATTTTGTAATTTACTAGTATACTGTGGATGGCTTGTTATAAACGCATGTGACAAGTATTTTCTTTACTTTTTCCTTCTTTTTCAACAAACATAGTTATTTGGCAACGCATAAGAGAAATATGAAATTTTTTTTATTTTCAAATGAGCTGTGTAGTGAAATTTGAATTTTACTGAGGAAGGGGCTTTCACCAATTATGTACTTCAAACTACAAGCCTATAATTCCAAAGTTTAGTTAAACCCCTTCCTCTATATTTCTAAATATGTATTACAGACAGGCAAACAGACAGCTCGTTTTAGATTATAGGATAGAGATAGCCAACAGCATGACACATTTATTAGAGTTTTATTCCTCTCGCCTCGATTTCTTTTTTAATGTCAAGGGTGTAAGCAGAAAAAATCCTAACATTATAATGTTAGAACTATGTCCAAACCTAAACTGTATTAGGCAAACGACTTTTTGTTTTTGGAAAACAAACACTGCAGGGAAAACTATCAAAGGTAGCTGGTACCACCTAATGTTTTTAACTAATGTTTTTCCTATTGTACTGTATTTTGTAATTTACTAGTACATTATAATTTACATTATAATGTTAGAACTATGTCCAAACCTAAACTGTATTAGGCAAACGACTTTTTGTTTTTGGAAAACAAACACTGCAGGGAAAACTATCAAAGGTAGCTGGTACCACCTAATGTTTTTAACTAATGTTTTTCCTATTGTACTGTATTTTGTAATTTACTAGTATACTGTGGATGGCTTGTTATAAACGCATGTGACAAGTATTTTCTTTACTTTTTCCTTCTTTTTCAACAAACATAGTTATTTTGCAACGCATAAGAGAAATATGAAATTTTTTTTATTTTCAAATGAGCTGTGTAGTGAAATTTGAATTTTACTGAGGAAGGGGCTTTCACCAATTATGTACTTCAAACTATAAGCCTATAATTCCAAAGTTTAGTTAAACCCCTTCCTCTATATTACCACCTTTTAAAACATCAAACATGTTTTAAAAAGATATTTATAAAACACAGTAAAAGAATTCAGTAAAAGATTTTTTTTTGTTAAATTGAAATTAAAAAGGTTCAATCCTTGGAAATAAAGCTAGATCTGGTATTGAAAACGTTGGACTCTCTTCCTAAGTATTTTATTTGTTAGATACTAGTCTTCACGATTGTTCTAGTGACATTCATTGCTGCCAAGTATGGTTTATACGTATTGTCGCAATCACTTCAGAGAAATGAGGAAATGTCACGCCTGATATTAAACCAGAGAAATAAATTGTTCCTCTATATACTCGCACACACGTTCACAATGAGAGTGGCATTCTTCTTTATAATTCTGTGGTCGTCACGACGACCTTAGTTTTTACCGATGAATTAGGAAATCTCCATTTCCGTTTTACAAATGTAAGAAAGGCAATTGTTGTGCCTATAATTTTTTTGTGCATGTTTGATTTTTAATTTATTAATGAAAAAGTAGTCTTCTAACTTATCCAGTGGGGCTATGTTGTCCCATAACTAATAACTGGGAGTACGATTAGATGCTAAGGGAAAAACCGCATTGGCCTCTTCGGATCCCAATATAATTTATCCTCTCAGGGGGTTGTAAAAGAGTGAGTAAGACTCAAACTTTGGAAAACACCAATATACAAGGGTTAGGGATATGACAAGGCTTTTATTATAAACCCAAAATATATTCCTGAATGTTGTGAAAAAACGGTACATACTAATAGTTTTACCAAATAGGTATTTTGTACGTGATACTAAAAATCACGTTGTTGAGAATCTTAAATATACATCAACGATTTTATTTTAACAGAGTGAGCAACTAAGTGACAATACCCAAAGATCCTTTATTGAAAGAAAATAATTTTAGGTAGCTGTCTCGTAAACCTATAACAGTATTAGCATATTGGCTTGGAACCCAGAGGTCAGCATAGATTAAAGGAGTAGACCATATCGCTTTCAAATAGAAAAGTTTCTGCTTTGATTCTTAGAAAAATCGTTACCAGAACTAGATAGCCTTTGGGGTCATAATGTCACTACAACAAAAGGTCGGCGTTTTACAGTAACAACACCAGGGTTTGGACTCTTGCCTGAGAAAAAAACAATTAAATGGCACTGGCTTAAGTGACGCCAAAATTAAATTTTAGATCACATATAGGCTACAATAATAGAAAATGCAAACATTGGCAAGGGCTCTACTCAAATCCCAACATTCAATACCTCCACATCCCAAACATTCCCCAACTATTTAGCGAAGATTAGCAAACTTGAGACTAAACTTATCCGTTTGTAGTAGCTGAACATCCGGATGAGAATTTAATCTGCAAAACACAACTGGCTTGGAATGTTGCGCACGAATATCAGCGAATCCATTGTGTGGACGAGCACTAAGGTCTCGCCCGATTGTTAAAATACTTCCCCAACTGATTTAGAGTTTTAGGACTGATTCCAAACGGTATCGGAATTCAATAGTCGGAATAATTTTAAATCAAACACGACGGAGACGTCTCAGCCGGGGGTGGAACGTTTATGGCTAGAGGGTTGTGGAAGTGTGGGTGGGGGGTGGGGGCGGACGGCGCGCGTCGCGGCGGGCGGAGCAACCCTTAGTGTCGCGCCGCGTGTCGCCTAGAGAGGGTGCGGAGTACGTGTGTCTGTGATCGCAGTGGAACACGTCTTGAACACGTCTGGGTTCACGGTGGGTATTGTGAATATAGGGAGGGTGATCAAAACCGAATTTCGGATAGTAATTTCGTATTGTTTTTGCTAGTTAGTTTTCTATTTTTTTCGGGTTGGAAGTTTAAGAGTTTTTATAGGTATATCACTCGTTGAAACTTCCAAACTTTCAATGTTTATGTGTATTAAAACAAATTTTGAATTAATTTAGTAGATTGAATCCATAAGTAAGTTTCTTCTAGTAAGGATATTCCTATGCCTTTTTTAACATTGTTATTGTAAATATCATGGGTTTTCTATATTATATCGCACTTGAATTTGCGTGTATTAATATAGGTGTATTAACATTTACCGCACTTTCATTATATTAACCTAACTCAATTTCAAGTGGTTTTGGAATACCTTAACTACCACGCAAAAAGTACATATATTACAGCTGCTTTCATTGGAGGTACAAAGCAGTAATAGAATCTCATCAGACATCCTTACATTTCGAACGACTTATAACAAACATATTATTTTCAAAAGTGCGTTATTATTTGAGTAAACTATAATTACACTATTAAGAAAGACCAGAAACACATGATTCGTTCTATGAAAATTGTTTTCTAGACCGAAACTTCAGTTTAAGGAAACCATAAGCTTAGTTAAATGTTTTTATACGTATAAAAAGAATAAACTTGAAAAGATTATCACTCTTAAGTTACTGGACAACTGCAATAGCCGTTTCCCATACTTAATAATATTTCAATCAAATTCATATTTATTTCCTATTTTCCATTTTGTTTCCAGTAGTTCGATTTAACCTTATTGTTTAAAATAAATTGTGAATGCTTTAAAGTTCAAGCAAATTTACTATAAACATGACTCTGTTGGATTGCTTATATTGAGACCTTAAAACTATCCTTATAATGGAAACCCCTCCAAAACAGCCGTTCTCTACTGTTTTCTCACTGTTAGCCTTTTACCAGGGAAACATTAAATAAACAGCTTTAGTTAGCTATATTGAATCAATCATGTATACTTTTGACGTAGGGTTTTACCATTAATGAGCTATAACGATAAATATGGTATAATCTTTCATTAAGCTAATTTTAGATGTTAAGGTTCTAAGGTTTTACGGGACATCTTATAACATGATCGGCCTAACTACTTTACCTTTTAATTCATAACGTCTTACTACAGTTTTAAACAACTAGGTATTAGTAGCCAATCGAACAAAAAAAATAGATTTACAATCAAAATTCAAGAATGTTTGTAAATGATGAAGGAGAAATCTTTAATTACAGTAGTGGTTGTGTAGTTTCTTTGACAACTTTCGTTCGCGGTCATACAATTATTAGGGATAGTTGATAAGAGGCAAACAGTACATAATACTTGAACTTTTAACACATATAAAATAATACAAGATTATACTTAATCATTTTTGAAGCTAGAGCTCTGACAACAGATTTTAACAAAAATATACACTGGAGAGCGTTTTTTGACAAGCAAAATATAGTTTTTTTTCAAGATTTGCACACACCCACAAAAAATTTATGTTGAAATTTTAATCAATTTGAAAATTGAAAACATTACTTAATTTTCATTAGACTCTTTTAAATGAATAATTATATTGCATAATAAAGCTGTCTTTAGTTTGAACCTTCATATCCAGTAATATTTTCAATACAGTCAAAATATTTATTAAAAGTAACATCTAATATCCCTTATGGACTGGGAAGCGAGCTGGTCTAGAGGTAGAGAACATTGGTTTTGAGGTTCCGGGTTCAAATCCCGCCAAATCACCAAAGGAAGTGATAATGCCGCAGCCCCTAGATCTATCCCGAGGTATTTTGTGAAACAATTCCGAGCTCGTGCCTACTGTCCTAGGAAATAAAATTCCCTTATGAAGCAAAGATTTAGAAAGGGAATAATTGTTTTCATACGAAATTTAATACATTTGAAATTCCAAAGAGTATGGTTACGATACAGTGCACTTTAACCACCCCGATCAACTATATGTGTTATCATTCAGTAATCATGTTAATATCTAAATACTATTTTAACCACAAAAGGCGTATAATCCTTAGGTAATTTATAATCGTGAGAACCTTTTATTAAGTCTTAAAACAGTTTTTTTTTTATAATATTTAACTCAAACTAATACAAAATAACTTTATCCACCAATTTAAAAAGATAATCAGTTTGCTAGTTTTTAGAAACAAAAGTGTTCATAAAGATTATGCAATACAATGTATAATCGCCATTACATGATTTTTACTACTTTCTTGAACTACTTATTTAGGATATTAGTGTAGGATTTACATGTAACTGCAAATAAAACCACAATATAAATTTAAATTTCCGACTGGTAGAAGTATTTTTCCCCCATAAATATTATATTACCCATTTTTTCGTAAAAGAAATATTTTCCACCTGTATGTGGTTTTTAAAGAGGACAAGAGGGCAAATTTAAAACAAAAATGTATTGCATTATTGTTATTTTTCAGAAATCTCTACAACGTAAACATTTTATTACCTTCCGATACGAGTCAGGCACAAACACTTTTCAAGAAATAAACATTATTTTCCTATATTAGTTTTAATTTTTCCCCAAATGTGTAGACGTACGAAGACTTTAGGTAACTGTCTATTAACTCAAGTATTTTTTTACTATTTTTATTGTATAGAAAACACTCAGATATTTCAATATTTTCGTACAATAGTTATAAAGTCGAAATTGCAGCTAGAGAGCTTATCAAAATAGCATGATAAATAAATATGATTATTGTACTGTACCAAAATTACATGATAAACATTGGATTCACAGTTTTGATTGGAACTCTAGTGGAATTCCTGTTTTGACATTTCCCTATATATCCATTTTGTCCGGTATCAGAAGTAATTAAAATCCAATCTAAAATGACCTAGTGCCTTTTTGGCTTGCTTAACCTTTGTGAGGATGCAACAAATATGGTATTAAAAAAATATAAATGGTTCTTAGAGTGTTTTTAATATAATGTACAATAATGTTTGTAATTTGAGTTTTTTGCGTGATCAAACAAATTTTCTAAATATTGTATTTTGCATTATTGTTTATACCTACAAACATTTTCAGTAAGTTATAGAAGCGTAATTGAAAGAAATATAGTTGCCGGCGGATAACGGATTTTCACTTGAGATTTGATATAATTTTAATATTATTATTACTATTATATCAAATCGTTAGCAAAGTTATCAATATAAAGGGTTTCCCGTAACTCGTTGGACATACAATTTACTAACTTTTTGTCTCTTGCAATTTTATTGAAACGTTAACGGTTTTCGTGAAATTTTGCATCAATTATTTTAAATGGCTGCCATTTTGAAACGGTTTTTGGTTTTTTTTTTTGTATAGTTTCTAACGATAATAGGTCAAAATAATATAAACATTTTTTTGCAAAATATCAACGCTGTATCTCAAACCGTTTAGGAGTTATTAGTTTTTTTTGTAAAAAACACATAAATACAGACAGATGGAAAACTAGGCACCACAGACCCATGTTCCTATGGTGAAATGTGTTTGTCTTGACCTAAGGAATAACGCTATATACATATTTATTGGAAACATATGTTCCACTTCAATACACTAAGTACAGAAAAAAATGGATATACACATGTAAGATTATTTCTGAATTTAAAATCAAGGCATTGATAAAATTTTGATAAGGGGTGAACACCCCTTAACTAATTTTAGAATACATATCAAGTCTATTTATTTTCTTTTACTTAAAAATCACTATATATTTCTGATGCGCACTATATATTTCTGATGCGTTTTAATTCTTTACTTTATACAAACACCTTTTTTCAAAGAATGTTACGAGTCTTATGAAGGTTTAAACGATTAAAAGATAAACTGATTGCTTTTATATGCACCGATTATAACAATAAGAATTATAGGGGTTCATAAATAAAAGTAAAATGTATGTAGTTAAAATGTGTGTAATTGTATGATTAAAAAACGTCTGTTTTAACTAAAATACACGTTGGGTGTCACAGGAATATACTTAATTATTTACAAAAAAAAATACACTCAAAAGCAGTAACTTAAAAAGCTAACATGCTTAGGCAAAAAAAAAACGCTTAATATGCTTATTATGTAAAAGCTTAACATGCGTTAAGTACATTTTTTCCTGACAAGCATATATATTGGTAGTTTTCCCAAAAAATCTTTGTTTTGGCTATACTACTGCTAAACGTATAATATATTGAAGACAGCAATTGGTTGAATCGTTAACAGTAATTGTTTGGGACATTTAATGAGGAATCATATCACATCATTTATTACTCTAACGATCAAAATCATTTTACCAACATGTTTGATAAAACAATACATTATATAACTGAGATTTCTAAACATAACTTGAGCATATTCAAACATGTTTATTTTATGTTATCGTGTAAACTCGTGGCGAAAATCATTTTCTTGGTGATATTATATGTACAAAGTGTAGGTGCAATTGGATATTTATATTCATTAAGTAATTTGTTTAATTTTGCTGGTATTTAAATGACCACATACGAAATATATAAAAATGAGTATGATAGTAAAATCTTTACTAATTTTGTTAAGTTACCATGATCAAATATAAAAAATTTTCTGAGATGTAGCTTACTAATAAGCGGGGAGATTTCCAGTTCTTTAACGAAATAAGACCCCGCCTAAACTTTTTAATTATGTAGTAAAATTTATGGTCACAACGAAACTTTGAGTTGGCAAAAGTTTGAGCTATAATCACAATGTTAAACCTGGTCTCAGGGGCAAGGGTCTTTAACTTCAGCTCAGAATATTTAACTTTCATGAGAAATAAATACGTCATTTTATCCTCAGTAGAAAAGGTTGGATAACTCATAAAAGTTTAATGCAAGGACTTCGATTCAATTACGGCATAAACGTTGCAATGGTATAGAAAAGCTTTAAATCATCTTTTACACACACAAACAGGTTTTCTTTGTATGAATTATAATCTACCATTGTATCAGTATCCTGAAAATTATATTTTCAATGACAAATCAATTGAATGATGTTTTATTAATACAACTTAGGTTTCTGTCATACTCAATTTATCATTTTCCCTGACCTTCCATTTTATTGCAATACGTTGGTGTTTTCATTGTTCAGTTCTGATTTGAAGTAAATATTTTTTTTTATTATGAAGTGGCAAACTTAATACCACGTACATTATGTAACTCCGTAAATAAAAGAACTTATCAAACGTAAAACGTCTAACGGAATGATTTGTATGATTTTCTCCATTATTTATTATCACTCTTTGATTTATTGAGTGTTGTTATTAGTTTTCTCTGAAAATAGTTCGCTATTTACTTTACAAAAATGTAATACGTATGGGTGTGGATAAATAGCTGTTTACTAGCTTTTATTGGTATAAGTTATTTGTAGGTATGCATTAATAAGTATGCATTATGATACTAATCAACAACTAGACTTATACATATCCAGTATACATTGATAAATTAAAATACGTAAAAAAAACGTTTAAAAATGCAAATAATAAGTATGCAATTAATCAGTTCGAAATGATATTCTGATAACTACCTAAAATAACGGTGTTTTACGGAGGGTACTGTGGATGGATAAAACAGAATAATATATTTTAACTATTTCAGTTCCAAAATATTTATTGTAAAAAACCACTACCAAAATTATGTTTTTGTCATATTTATACAATTAAGAATTATGAAAAATATAAGCCTCACACATTTGTTCTAAAAATGTCCATAACTTCCTTAAACAATACACATAGGCCTATACGACTTCGTAATGTTTTCATTTATATTGTATCCTTAACTCTATTTGTTGTGTAACATATTGTAAATCAAGAGCTATTTAAAAATAAGTTGTGATCACAATTATCCACAAAAAAATTGTAGCATCGAGACACTGTGCGTATTAATTTTAATATATTAATTCAGTTCTAAAATATTGTAAGCTATAGTTAAACATTTTCTATGACAAAATTTCAGTTTTAATTTGGTTTTACAGTGTAATCTAAATTTTGTATTTTTTCACAGGGTGATGAGTGAATGATGGCAGATCCTCCTCCGGTTTTGCTACTGCTGTGCTTGTTGGTTTCTACCGCCATATTCTGCTCTTCAGTATCAGGTCTGTAGCATTTGTTGATCATAAATAGCATAAATATACAATCAGCATTAATTACGACTAAAAACTTACATGTTTAAGGTTTCTAACTAAAACTTATCTCAACAAATGTGACTGGGCTTTGGAGTGTTCAAAATTAAACTTTGGAAGGTAGATTGTCCCAAACATGTTTCTAAATTAACGTCCAATGTTACTATTTACACTTAGACACTATACTGACCTATCGTTTTGATTTTAATTTAGTGTAATACGCACAAAGTTTTTCAGAAAGAAAGAAAGTTTAGACGATGAATATCAATGTACTTTTCCTGAGCGTCCCTCAAGTCAGGCAGCTTGTTAGGATATGTCACACCTAACATATAATGCCTAATCAAAACCGACAGTATTACTTACAGGGTGACAGACAAAGGGGTAATGTGACATTTAGTTGTTTTTTTCTAAACAAAATAAAGTAATACAAGTGAAAGCTACATTACAATTACCTTTTACCACGAGGATTATTTTACACATTACCTATTTAACCTGTTACCTATTAAAAATAATAATAATGCGAAGTATCAGTTAGTTCCTCGTACTTACATAATTGATGTGAATTGAAGAAGTAAATGTAATTAATAGCATAATTAAACACACGTAAAAGTATGGAAATATACATTTTTTGCGTGTTGACATGCATGCATCTAAACTGTATTTTTCATACTTATACATTTTTATATTCAAGTTATTGAAGATCAACCTGTGTCTGTTGAGGAAAACGTAACTGTCAGAGTTCCAAGTATATATGTCAATAGTTGGGTTATTATTAGAGCAGAAGGAGATTTTTCCGTTGTAGTCCGCCAATATGACTATTGAGATCGGTCAGAATCGACTTACCTTATATTCGAATGCTAAAAAGATAAGGCTATAAACTGTGTATAACAATCTTTTGCTCTTTAATGGTTATTACGTCTCTTTTGCAACAACCTTTATCATAAAAAAAACTTAGCTCTATTTGAAATGAAAAAGTAAACTTACAGCATTTTGCTAAATTAATTTTTATCATTGGAAAATAATTAAACCAATAGATTAAAAAAAATTATATAACAAACCTAACGACTTTGATAAGTTCTGACAAAACTGTCGTTTTGGATAAAAACGAGAAATGAATCCATTATCACCATCCATATGCCTATACCATATACCTAGGTACATACCTATATCCATACACCTGTTCTTATACTTATTTTGCAACAAAAATGCTATATTTCGTACGTCTGTGGTCTATTCCATTTACATGCATTTAAATAATGCAAACTTCTGACTATAGACCAAAGTAAGATATATTATTTAGTAAAATCAAATCCATTCATTGTATCGACAAACAACAACAATTAAAAGTAGAACAGTTTTTTTCACCAGGGAGAAGTTGGCATCGTTTCACATAGAGAAATTTAACCTAGTTTTCAGTAAGTAAGTTTGTACTTCTGCTATTGTCTTATATTTCTCGCGAGAACCAGTCTGAAACGCGGCAGTTGTTGACACCTGTTCTGACAAGGATATTGCGAAGCTGATACAAAGAGCAGCCCACGCCTGAGGGTGTGCTTTGTCGGCGACAGCGAGATTGCGAATCCGCTTGATTCATAATGTTCAACAATTTTAAAATCATATGTTCAGTGCCTAAGAAGCATTTTTGTTATTGAAACACTTTTAAAAGATACGTTTGTATATTTCGTAATGTTCAAAAGTATTACGTATGAGAATTTAATGTTTATTTGTAAAAATCATCTTCCTATTAAACGTAATAGGCTTTGTTGTATGAACATGTGTAAATTAAGTATGAAAACAAATCAGTATGTTTCGAACCAGAATAGTAAAAAATATTCTGTGTGTTGCATTGATTTTTTACAAAGGTTTCGAGATCGTTTGAATCAAAAACATGTTTAACCCCTCTAACAGATTATAGGTGACTTATTGTTTTCAAATAGCAACCCCTATTGAGAGACACCTCATTTTGAAAGTTTGTCAAGAGAAATACAATGACGTACATCCGAGGTAGATATTTCATCCCTAGCCAAAAAGGGGTCACTCAATAGGGTTTGCTGTTTGAAACAAAATTAGTCACCCCCTACCTCTCACCCTTTTAGTGGGGTAACAAAATATTTTCAATGTAAAACATTGCGGAGCCTTTGTTAAAAATCAATGCTATAAACAGAATATTTCTACCTATTTCAGTTTTTTTAAATACAGATTGGTTTCCATACTTAATTTACACTGTATAATAAATTACATGAGAACAATAGTAATTGTAGAATTTATAAGAGCTTTGATTCACCTAACTAGAACGGTTTATAATTGAATAAGAAAATTGTAGGTAGGCCTACATACTTTAGTTTATTATTAGGTAAATTTCTTATTTTTGAATACATTGAACTCTTTATCCTTTAATTTTTTTCGCCTACGTAGACCTCGAGTGGAACGTGTCATGTTAATGAGGAGTGACTTGGTATAGCGTAAAAGTACTTCAATAAACTGTACTGATATTTGTGACAAAAGTCAATGATGTTCCCCTACGCTGCCATGAACTCTAATTCAACCGCACTTTTTTCAGTTACTGTTTTTACAGACCTAATGAAATTCATCAGTCTTCATGGTACTTTCCTGTTAAAGGGAACATTCATTATTATCGATGATTCTTTTCTCAATATATCGATGTTTTTGTTATCCGATCCATTACAAATTGACAATAAGAAATGAAACTGCTCTAAGCTAACCTAACATAACCAACCATAATTGCTGTACCATTTAAAAATTCCGTTTGGGTTTAAATATAAAAGGCAAGTTATAAACGCGGAATTTTTAAATTTTACAGCAAGTTTGGTTAGTTATGTTAGGTTATTTATTTTAGAACAGTTTCATTTCATTAATGTTTGTTGATACTGAACAATATTTTTCGTAATTGTCAGCTGATATGTTTCAATTTGTTAATATCGATATATCGAGAAAAAATCATCGATAATAATGAATGTTCCCTTTAACAGGAAAGTACCGTTTTCATTAGGTTATATTTCGGAATTCCTCGACTGTAACTACAGTGCATTTTTAAATACTGTAGCCTGATTTCTAGTAAATACAATGAAAGCCTGTTACGGAATCAGATAATGAAGAGTATTGACTATGTCGCGTGTCCAAGCAGTGAACCCATTATAGAGTACAACAGCTTAAACTTGAAACTAGGTGTTAATGTGCATGCAACACTTCCGGGGAACACTTTGATTTATATTCTACATCTAGTCCACAGGACGTTGAATAATAGCTAAAGTGATTTAAGGATCACGTTCCTATTCATACTGATACATGATTACGGGGTTTGCTATTTATTTTAGACCAACCATTGGTTCCACGATGATGAAATGTTACATTTCCCAGGAAAAACTCCAATGAATAACTTAAAAATATTTTAAACTAGCAGACTTCCTCTCCTTCGTACAGGGTTGGAGTATAAGTATAAAATGCTTATTGCAGTCATTCTCGTGCTTTGCGTTTGCAATGCGGGAGCACATGGTTTCAGAAAATGTTGTACTTTAATTTTACGGTATGATATTGTATAACACATCTACTATAGCCATCATGTTCTACCACTGCACCTAAACCATAGAAAAAATGAACCATCAAACATTTTCACATTATCACAACTTAGTTATTAAATTTAAAACCTATACATAGTTGTAAACAATCCTAACTTAACAGTTCTCATTGTATATAACATATTTTTTCTGCTGCTTAGTTTAAATTAGCTGTTGTTATAAGTGCAATAAAGTATAGTGTTGCACCCTATTGGTAATCCTTGTAACATTTGAATGCTGTTAAATATCATAGAACCTACTAGTTTGGTTGAAAGAACTGTCAAAATTCTGTAATTCTTTAAATATAATGAATACTCAAAAGAATAACTTGGAAACCAGTGGGGTATAGCCCTATTGGATTTTCGCAACTTTAATATGTCTATGTGTTTCTCAATACTATCAAGTACCTTCCTGCAAAATGTCAGCTCAATCGTTCCAGGTGATGGACGTTCAGAGTTACACACAGACATCCATATTTTCACATTTATAATATTAGTAGGATGATTTTTGAACACATAATGTGCCTAAACCAGAGGTTCACTAGTAAAAATCCCACAATATTGGCAAATACAAACATATGTCATGTTATGCATAGTTATAAAGCTATTGTTAAAGTAAATGAAAACATTTGAGTTGAATGAAAATTTAACTGTTTTTATTCGTTTAGTAATGACGGCTCTTTATAGGGAACATTTAGTACTATTTTGAATACCCTATATTTTCCTTAAAATTGTATATATCCTTTTACTCTAATTGAACGTTTGCATTCCTTGTGAGCTTAAATTTACTTAGATATGCAATATTACTTTAATATTACAAAAAAAATCATTTTTTTATTAATACATAGTCAAAACTCAAAGCTCTCAAGTAGCATCATATATTGATTTCGTACACACCTTTTAAACGTTAGTATAAACTAGCCGAACTCCAACATTTAAGCCGATTACAAATTTTACCTATATAAAACACTTATTTTGAGTTAACACGGCATAAAAAACACCAAAGTGAATGAAGATGTGAGTCATTTAAATAAACGAGTAAAAGTGAAACAAGTTAAACCACATTCTGGACGAGAGTCCTTTGGGGTCGAGACTAACTTAAATTGGATAGCGGTCGCTGGTGAGGGCCATCTAGGGTTTACTGTCTAGCGTACGCTCGTGTGTGAGTGAAACTCAAACCATTGAACTCAAATGTATTTTAGCAAATCATCAAATTCAATAACCCTTTTTTTTGTTGCGTGCGATTTTGGTTATTGGAAGGAAAAATGTCATGTTACTAAAATAACCTGACTGAAAATATAAATGTTCCATAAATGATGAATTTACAATTCAACTATGATTAGCAGCCTATATGTGTGTAGGGTTTTTTAATATATTGTTGATTTAAGCAAGGTCTACTAAC